AATTCAAAGTTTGGGCTTGAAAGAGCGCATGTTCCGGTGAAAGACTACATATACTCAAAATCTGGTGGATCTAAGTGCTGCCGTTTTTTCTCAAATGCAACATACAAACACACATACATACTGCCAGATTCTTCTTTTATCAAAAGCAGATATCATGTTAAATTTATATGAAAACTCATACTTCTTTACTAAATTAAAATTAACTTTGCTTATATTGAAATAATTTCGCAACTAGAGAAGAAATCAGAGTCATTATGCAATTTAAATTCTTTCGAATGTTTCAAAAAATATTATTAAATATAAAATATTTTAAATTTCAACAAACATAAGCAACCTACTCTTCTGGAGTTAGGGTTTAATTTTTCATCTTCTAAGCAATTTTATATTAACTTATTTTTAAATTAAGTGAATTTTTAATAATTTCCATGCTCATTATTTGCTACTATTTTACGTAAGAATTCTTTGCGAAATTCTATTTATCTGTTCTGTTAACGTGCATTTAATATGTGTTAAAATTAATGCGAAATTATTTTAACAACAGTAGCTAATGCATATCCATCGAGAATACCGCGACATGCACGAAATAGCATGAATTATTTTGTGCAAAATGGCGGTATTGTACCATTGTGTTATTTTTCGACTCAATTTATTTGATTTATTTCATCCAACCCTGATTACAATAAAAATATCCCACTTTTTTATTGATTTCAACATACAAGATTTAAGATGCAGATATTATTTTAAAATGCAAATACAATGTTAACATACAAATGATTTATCAGATTTGAAATCTTAAAAGTTAATACCGTAAGATCGTATTATGTATCTGTTACGCCCTTTTACATAGCCTTAGAAATTCAGAGACAGGCGGGTATGAAGGTAAAAAGATAAGCCTATTTTGTTACTTTAATAGTCTAGGCATTTATGATATTAAAGGCTAATACGTTTTACAAGTAAATAGTACTGATTAGTACATTTTATAGACAAATAGTAATAGTTAATACATTTTACTGGTAAATATAACAAATAGTGTTTGCAACGATATTCATATAGTTAGTAATATCTGATTTTTCATACGTTCGGAGGTTCGTTATAGCCATATAAAAGTAACATTAATTGCATAACAGTTTTAACGGGACTAGAGATTTTTTTTAATTACACCTGGAGGTTCGTTATGAACCTCCAGATAGCTACTTCTGTATAGCTGGGATCGACTGTAGTATTTTTTCGCATTTTAATAACATGTGTTGCAGCAAGTAAACGTCTCCACTAATAATGTAATAGATAAAAAATTTCCTATAAAATGTCAATGGAAATAATTCTAACTCTAGAAGACTCGAAATTAACCGGAGTAATACTGAGGACGACATCTACGGTTAACCTACAATCACGGTTCATTCGACAGCAGTTAAAACAAAATACAGGAAAGAGTAATAGCCTATATCTGAATTAATAGAAAGTACTGTTAGCAATTTATCTGCATTTTCCAGCAGTTGAGTAAGAATAATATTTTTATTTCGGTTATATAAATTAAATGAGATTTCAAAACATGAGGAACATAATTCAAAACAAAAAGATCAAAATTTTTTTTTCATTAGTCATTTTTTTCATTTTGATAGCAGACAATAGAAGACAAAATATTAATGGCTGTATACTTAATATATTTCACAATTCAGCAATTTTATTTTTACGAAAGATTTAATTTAATATGTATTTGAAATATATAAACAATATCTATGCATTTCAAAAACATTCATAATTAAATTATACACTATTGTAGGTAGCAACATTTCTTAAAAATTCTGTGACAACAACGTTATCACTGTTATTATCCCATGCATTCTTTTCTTCTTTTTGTACTTCCTTATAATTTTTCCTTTGTTTTTCAATCATATAATAGAGCTTAAATTTTTTTAGACAAGATCCGTTTAACCGCAACGCGTTAACTGCTTACTGCATGCTTTTTGTATTTGTTTTTGTCTACAGAAAAGAAAGATCTGATGATTGTGATGAAAACTGGAAACCTTTAATGAAACATAGATTGAAATTCTCTCTATGTATATGCAATATGATGAAGTGAAGTAAGTTGCAACAGATTTATGATGGTTCTCTGCGGTGTATCCTGGGGAGACTTTACTGCATAGTTAGAAAGATGACACTCGAAGGGAAGACTTGTAGACAGGCGTATCCAAAATTAGTGTAAATTTTATTGGTGGATATGGACTAATTATAGAAAATATATTCTTCATCACACATGGTCATGGGCGCAAGTCATGCAAGATGGATTGAACTAGAAATGATGCAGTCCAGAAAGGCTATTATTACGATTTTTAAAATAGAGAGGAATTAATTGGTTACCGCTAGTTGAAATTATAATTTTGATTTACGTTATTTTTTATCTTATAGGTATACACACAGACACACACACATACATACATATATATATAATTACAGAAAGGAAAACAAACTAAAAAAAGACCTTTGTCGTCAAGAAGTTTGCTCATTGAGCTGCAAAAATTAGAAAACAAAGTATAAAAAGAATATTGTTTATATATATATTGATTACCTCCTTGTTAATTATAAGAAAATAAAAATTTTAATTTGAAAACTATTGAAATACATTTTATTTTAACTCTTCAAATTTTTAATTGAAAAACTACTGAAATATAATTTTTTCTTTCAATGACAAATGCTTTTCTTGAAATAGCTTGAGATTTTTCTGTTTTTGTTTTCACCATTTTACACTCATAACGAAAATGAAAACAAAAACGCTGAAGCTTGCGAATTCAATATATTTTAAATTAAATTTTATTTTTGTTTATCAGTACGGAATTAGTTTTATCAGTTGCCAAAGCGGATTTTATATTTATTGATTTAAAGGCGAGATTAATAATTTTTTTAATTATTAATTTTCCATTAGTAATTATTTTCATTATTAACTTTTAAATTAAACATTTTTGCTTAAATTTTCTTTATTCGTCTTCATGCGTGCTTTTCCTACAATTATTTCACTTCCTTTAATTGAAATAGATGAAATTTTGAGAGTAGCAAGAGGAACATAACCAATAGATTTCTCAATTATCTTTTTGAAGTGGAAGTCGTCTTGAACTTTTCATACTAAATTTTTCATTTTCTATAATGCTTTAGAAACAAAAACCTGAAATGAGAGTTTTTCGTACATGAAACAAACTTTATCTCATGATTTGTAAATTTTAGTATCTCAGGAACCATTGGAATGAATTACAGATTTTGTATATTAAAAAATATGTCAGCTGTGTCGTTGTAAATCTACTGTTCTCTTTTATTGTTTCATAAGCCAAATGGTATATAATTTAAAATTTTTGTAGGAAGTCTTATCTTACGAAGCATTTAACTCATTTACATTTTCTTGAACGTGAAAATTAATTTATTGTCTTTCGAAAACTTTGTAAACTTACTGTTCTAACATTTTGCTGCCATACCGAAAACATCATTCTGAGGTATGAAGTTTCTCATTATCTCAGAAACAAAATGGCAGGTTGTTTTATTTTATATGAAAGCTATGTTAAGGAGTCTGATAATACGCAGCCGTCTTGGTTTCATCAAGTTGAAAACTAATACAGAATAGCATATAAAATTTAGATACGTATAATGGTCTTAAAAAGGAAAAAAAAAATCCTTAAAAATATATATATATATATATATATATATATATATATTTAAAACTAGAAACTGCAGTTCAACAGAAATAAAATTCTTGCAAATGATTCATTTTTATTAATATAAATTTTAACCTAATTCACAAAACTGTGTAATGAAACTATATATTAAATTATATTAATAAAATGTGACAAAAATGCATTACAAAGTCTAAATTCTATGTGTGCGCAAAATGAGCATACTGAAGTTTCATTACTGACCGATAAGAAATTCTTTATTATTTTAAAGAATTTTGGAAGATTTCAAAAGTTTAACAAATGTTAAGTTAAAAAAGAGTAAAACAAAATGCATGAAAACAAAACAAACGTTCATCTAAACACTTTTATGCTGTGAAATGTAATAAAAGTAATAAACAATTTTGGGTAATCAAAAGGTTTTTATTTTAAACATACAGAAGTTCCTCCCCTATGTTTAAACATTAAGGGCAAAAAATTAAATATTTTAAGATAAGAGTGAAAATAAATAGTCCCCTACTCATATTATTAAGGAATATATATATATATATATATATATCCAGTATAGGAACTGATCAATGCTAAAATTATTTAATATTGTTAGCATATTGATAATTTCTAAAAGCATTTCGTATTAAATGTTTTTTATTTACATATTACTGAGTTTCAATTAAATTTTCCCATAAATAAAAAATATTTATACTTACTAAAACAATGAAATTTAGTAAGTGTTAAAAATGAATTAGAAGAATAAATAAAATTTTAATTTATTAAAAATTTTCATCATTTCCATTTTAAAGTGTTTGATTACTGATTTTAATTAAATATTCCCATACATATAAATTATTTATACTTAATAAAATAATGAAATTTAACGTGTTAAATATGAATTAGGAGAATAAATAAAATTTTAATTTACTAAAAATTATCATAATTTCCATTTTTAAAGTGTTTGATTTTACACAATTTGAAAAATCAAATAGTCTGAGTCTAATACTGTGAAAAAAAAAGTTTTCAAAGTAAAAGGAAAATTTTCCATTGTGATAAAGTGGCAGCTTAGTGTTAGAAAACGTAAAATATATGGATATTGTAATACTCAAATTATTACTGCAAATAATATTTTATAACATCTTATGGAACGGAAACATACTTAAATTTCATAAGTTTAATAAATTTGCAAATGACAGTAGGAACAGTATATTAAACTTGAATATTTGCAAGTTAGAAAATATCATGCGGGCAGTTTCCTTATCCACTCATTTGTAGAAAGTTCATGTCTTTGTCTTAAGCTTTTAAATTAATTAATCACTAAAAGTGATTGATTTTTAAAATGTTTTCTCTGCACAGGCTTCCAGGGATTCTTCACTCATTCGTCATCCGTTCCATCCATAGATGAAATTTCCAAGAAAGTGTGAATTATGTGTGAAGGCGATGCCATATCTGCCCTTTAAATTAAACCCCGTGATGTTTGGTAAGTGCAAAATAAACGACAACTGCTGTCTCCCATTCATATATTAATCAAAGGAAACAAAGAATTCATTCTTCGATGTAATTAGATTTTATACATGGAAAGTTAGCTTTTATAAATTAATAAATTTTATGATGCTATAAAACTTATCCTTGAGAGAATCCAATAAATTGAACTGTTTTTAACTTATTTATCATTCTTTGACATTCCTAAGACGCATTTTTCTTGCTTTCAAAAGTGTGCAAGTTATCATTTATTTTTATATGGCAACGAGTTCTTATTTTGATGAGTAATGTACATGAAATTTGAAAGACTTAGTCGTCTGTAAATTAGAGAAATCTTGATAACACATGAGAAAGTAATTGTTTGAACAACTTAGGTAATTAAAAAAATAATTTTACGTTTTTTTAAATAATTTTTAAATCGAATATCGTAAGTTAATTTATTAGCCATTAAAATACTTTATAACTAAATACAGACCTACTAATGCTATTTAACAAACATTCCCAACAAAACTTTAACAATTTTAATCAGTAATGTACCCACATGTAGTTGGGTATTTTATATCAATTTAACTTCCATTGATTCTCATGCTACTTCAAGCAAAATTTACACATTTTAAGGAGAAAAAATTAAACTTTTCGATCATTTACATGGGAAAATTGATTTATACATTGAAAGAAATACTGAGACAAACTTATGTCTTAAGCTTTCAGTCACTCACATTACTTTAACTATATTTTTCTCTTCAAATGAGGGTAAAGACAACATATGTAATTAAATACGCTAAACATTTTTTGCTCATATCTACTGATGTCATCTAATGTTTCAAAAATTAAAATTACCGAAATAAAATCTCTCATTTTATTTAAGTTTTCTATACTAACACTAAAAATGATAGGAGGATTTTGGGTATCATGTGAAAGACGAAGAGTAGGAGAAAATGTCGCACTCTTTACTTGAACATTATATTGGATGTTAGAAAATTCTATCATTTCTCTCTTAAACCTTTTTCAGACCAATAGCCTTGGGACCTGCCGCTTAACCTAATGAAATCTTTGCAAATGAACATTGCCATCTTCCACCCGAAAATGCATCTGAAAATTTTCGCAGACAGCGCACATATTGGTGGAGGAAACTGGCATTTTCTGACATTTGGAATTGGAAGTGATAATTCCGCCTGAAGCGATTCTGAATGCTCATATCTGGAAATGATTAAAGACTGGTGTTAATGGAGGGTTTTGGATTGTATTAAAATTCAGCTTTAAATTTGTGCACCTCTCTAGATCAAAATTAAAGTTTCTTCAGAATTATTTCTGATGAAGTTATTACTTGTCAGTGTAATAACTGACTGGGTGAATAAAATGAAAGCGTTTTCTTATTATAAATGCTTAAACGTTAAGTCACAGCGGGATTTTGTAAAATAATGTATTATATTAAACATTCAGGCAAAATTTCAGGCATAAAGTATAAGTGATTTCTTAACTTAATTAAAAGTTAAGGATAGCTTACGTATTTAGTTTAAACTAAAATATTAATTTTAAACTAGAAATTTCACAAAGTTTTAACAAAGAAAATAAAACAAAATCTCCAGTTTTATTAGGACATAACTATTTTAAACACTAAGAGTCATGCACGGCCTATGTATTTTAGCGTATTCAGTAATTTGCCAGGTTACCCTTTTCTAAACTCAGCCCAAGACTGGAATTACCTTTAATAACCCAATTTATCTGTCTTCACATCTGATTTTAGTGATTTTTCATTCTTTTCACTTCTTAGTTAGGGCACACTACTGAAATGGATACGATATACTTCTTTTTAAAAACTCTTAAAACAAAGTCTTGGGATTTATCGAAATCCAAGTTTATAGAAAAGCACGTATTTGTGATGGGAGGTCTTTAAGATTGAAACGTTTGTAGAAAAGCAGAAATAAGTAATACGTCTGCCAATATACCAACTGCAGTGTAAGTATTTTTGTGCTTTTAGGTGTTGAAGTAATTGAACAGAAAAATTACTCAAGTACATGCAAGAATACCAAGTTTGAAATAGATGAGCATAAAATAAAATCTTTGCTTATTTTTATTAAAATATGATAGCTGGAAGAAGTAAAAGCCATTGAAAAGATTTATAAAGCATATATTTGCTAACGTTTTGCACAAATTTAAATTTCGTTGTCATTAAGTTTCAGTGATCAGTATCATCTGGTTTATACAATTACTATGTTTTACTTAAAATTCATTCTCTGCTATATAGAATAGGAGGTATCATTATTCTAGATAAATAATTAAGAATGTTATTTCATTTCAGAATAGTTATAAAAATAGATTTATTGCATTTCTCACAAAAAGTGCTAATACATTTTTAAAAATGGGCTTTGGAATTATCAACTCGATTGCGGTGAAATTTAATTAACTTTAAAACATCCGTTTAGATGTTGGAAGCTCTGATGATACGGAGTTCTGGTGATTGGAAGTGATGAATATATAGCTGGAGTTATGTAACAAACATAATCCCAATAACACGCCGATTAAATACTAATTCAGAAGTCAAACAAAAAAATCAGCGTTATATTTACAAAATTTTTTTCACAGGACTAGTTTCGATGGTTTTACCGAACCACCATCTTCCGCTGCAAAACCGCAAATGAACCAGATAGGAAATAATGATTAGATAAGATAAGGGTGCATTAAGATGTCTAGAAACCAGACCTTCGCGAATTTCATTTCTCTTGCATCGAAATTGATGAGCTAATTTCTCTCACTCAACTCTGTTTGAAACAAACACATTTTGTTTTCCAAAATAAATATTACAAGCAAACTGAGGGATTAGCCATGGGAAGCCCCCTCAGTCCCATCCTGGCTGATATCTACATGCATTATTATGAATCAAAATTGTTTGAAACTTTAAACTTCCCGGCATGGTTCCGCTACGTAGACAATACTTTTACTCTGTTTGAAGGTAATAAAGATGATTTAAATAAAGTTCTTTCAACAATGAATTCTATTGATCCTGCTATTCAGTTCACTTTTGAACTTGAGACTTGCAATTCTCTTCCGTTTCTCGACATTTCTGTTTACACGTAACACATCCAACTTCAGTACTACGGTTTACCGTAAACCTTGATCGGTTTGCCTTCCACCACACTTTAAATCATGTCATCCGACTAAACAAAAGTTAGCTTCATTTTATTCCTATACTTTCCGTGCTCTTCAAGTTTGCTCCTCCAAACTAGCCCTTGATGAAGAACTAAATTATTTAAAAGCAATAGCTATTGACAGGGGTTTTCCACCCAACATTATTAATCAAGCAGTTAAAAAATTCTTATCTCAACACACTAAAAAGCACACTCTTGTTTTAGGAGATTATAAAAATTCTGTTGTCATTCCCTTCTTTCCATCAATTAGCTATAAAGTTGCACATATTTTGCAGAAATTTAACTTTCGGGTTGTTTATTCTCCCATCAATAAAATTCCGAGTTCCATACTCAAGGACCCCATTCCGGATATGAATTCCTGGGGTATTTATAGGATTCCTTGCCAGTGCGGTTTAATTTACATTGGCCAAACTAAGAGAGCCTTAAAATTTCGCGTCAAGGAACATGAGGCATATGTTAGAAAAAAGGAAACACAGAAGTCTTCTGTTGCTCAACATTGTTGGTCCGAAAACCACACTTTCAGTTTTTCTGCTGCCAAAATTATTCAAAAAACATCTTCCATTGGAGAACTGGATTTTCTAGAGGCATTTCACATTCATAAAAATCTTTCTGTTCTAGTTAACGATCCTAATTCCAATCCAAATTTGCCTTCGGCCTTTAAAGAAATTATGTTTTAGTTCTGGTTTCACCAACAGATGGCGCCACTTGCTTATTCTTGTCCAGACTTTCTTATCTTATCTAATCATTATTTCCTATCTGGTTCATTTGCGGTTCTGCAGCTGAAGATGGTGGTTCGGTAAAACCATCGAAACTAGTCCTGTGAAAAAAAAAGTTGTAAATATAACGCTGATTTTTGTTGTTTGACTTCTGAATTAAACATAATCCCATTTAGTTACTCCGAGATAGAAAGAAAGAAACTTAAGAAACTTTCATTTTCTTTACGAAATAAGAAATACTGGGAACGAATTTACAGTACCAAAAGAGAGCACAATAACTGGAATTACGTAAAAAGCATTATCCCATTTAGTTACTCCAGGACACAAAGAAAGAAACTTAGGAAACGTTTCATTTTCTTTACGAAATAAGAAATGCAGTGAACGAATTTAAAATACCAAAATGCAAAAGGGAAAACCCAATAAGCAGTAAAATTAACTAATATTGTAAATACAAACATATGTCATTTACCATTTTCTCACTTTTTGTAGTAACAAAATGTTACAAAATGGAAAATGTACATATGTGAAATACTTTTTACAGAGATCCTTTTAGATTGCAACGAACTCAATGCGAACTTTTTACGAAATGTTTTCGAAACTGTTCATGTTAACACTGAAAAATAAAATTTGACAAAGTTAGTTTTCTTATAGCTTCAAAATTGTAACAAAATAATATGTATGGATAAATAATAGGATGTATTTTCACGGTGTCTCCTGAAAACACTTTAAATGAGGTTAAACACACATACTAAAATAATGCAAAACAAAAATGAAAGCATTGTAATCTTGTTGCATGCGTAAGGGTTCGCAATATATTGAAAGCACACAGCTCCGCTTATACGTTGTTGAAATGTATTTTATCGAAAGAAACACTTCAGAGTCTTGAAACATTGAAAAAAAAAATAATCGTGCATCTCCTTCACACTATCACAGAGTACAATCAATAGTAACAATACAAATTACTAAAAATGTTAAACATAACGTAATCCAAAGCTCATCTAAAGAGGAAGCCCACCCAGCGATATCTCAATTCTTCCAACTTAACGCTGAACTAAACGGCTAACAACTAAGAATTTGATGTTCTCTTCGGTCTTATAAAGATTTCTCCCAGCCGCCGAGAGATTTCTAGTACT